AAAATGGTATAAACACTGTAGAAAGTAGTTTCAGAAATTCTCAAAAAAGTTAAGCATACATTCACCATACAACCTGGCAGTTCTAGATTTTTTAACTCAAAAGAATTGAAAACATAGTCCCTATAAAAGAATTGTGTGTGAATTTTCATAGCAGCATTATATTCATAATAGTAAACAACTGGAATCAATACAAATATTGATAAGCAAAGAATACTAAATCCATATAATAGAATTCTACTAAGCATTAAAAAAGGAGTAAACTTATGATTCATGCAACATTTGAGATGTATCCTCAATAATGTTAAAAAAAACATTGAATTTTATATTTACAGTGGGTGAATTTTATGTTATGTAAATTCTACCTCAGTAAAACTAAAAACCAAATAGTTAGTAAACTATGCTTTCAGAGGTGAGTGGCACACCCTGGGGTACACAACTTAAATCCTTTGTCTGCAATAGAAAAAACAAGCTGTGAGCTAGCAGTGATAGTTTTCTGGACCCCATTTTCTTCTGAGAAGACCAAGGAGGTTAGAGGTAGGATTAAATGGGAAACTACAAAAAACTGTATATGCTAAAACAGTTTGTTTGGGTTTTTTTGCCAGAGGGGAAGTAATGAAACTTTACATTGTGATTTGTGCCAAACTTTTATCTTTGCACCGAAGTACAGGTTAAAAATGCACACTGATAAAACCTCATTAGGGTCATTAGGAGAATTCTTGATAACTTAGAATTGGGAGTTGGCAAACTATGCCCTGTGACCAAATCTAGCTCACAGACTGTTTTTGTATGACTCATATACTAAAAAATGATCTTTACATTTTTTTTTTAAATTGTGGAGATGAGGTCTTGCCAAGTTGCCTGGATGGGTCTCGAACCTGTAGGCTCAGGCAATACACTCGTCTCGGCCTCCCAAAGTGCTGGGATTACAGGCTGAGCCACCGAACCCGGCCAATCTTCACATTTTTAAATGGCTATTTTTAAAAAGAAGAACAAGTGGTAGATATTATATGTGGCCCACAAAGGTGAAAATATTTACTGTCTGGCTCTTTGCTGGAAATGTTTGCAGACCCTTGAACTAGAACATGATTTTGGTCTTTATTAGTTATGGTTATCCAGAGAAAGAGAACCAGTAGGGATGTGGTGGGAGAAACAGATAATAAGGAATTGACTCAAGTGATTATGGAGCCTGACAAGTCCCAAATCTGCTTGGTAAACTGTATATCCAGGAGAGATGATAGTGTGGTTCCAGTATCAGTTCCAAATGCCTGAGAGTGAGGAGAGTCTGGTGTAGTTTCAGTCTGAAAGCTGGTAGTCTCAAGATTCGGGAAGAGCTGATATTTCCCATTCAGTCTGAAGGGGGGAGAAATTGATTTCATAGATCTAAAGCAATTATATAGAAGGAGTTCCCTCTTACTCATCGGGCAGTCAGGCTTTCTGTTATTCTCTTCAGGTCAGGCAGTTTATTGCATGGGGCCACAACACATTAGGAAGGGCAATCTACTTAATTCAGTCTGCCAATTCAAGTGATAATCTCATCCAGAGATACTCTTAGAAACATACCTAGATCATGTTTGACCAGATGTCTGAGCATCCTGTGGCCTAGTCAAGTTGATGTATAAAATTAACAATTACATGCTCCCTCACTCCCAAAAAGCTTCCTTCTGTAAATAACTCTTCTGGGAAAAATTCGCCTCCATGAATGTTGAGTTTTCAAAAAGGAACTAACACAAAAACACCAAAAAGATAAAAAGGAACAATAATAACTAATAGTAAATAAAGACTATTTGTCAGGGGGAAAAAATGTAGCTATGAAATAGATTTAAATAGTGTGTGAATATTTTTCATGAATTTAAAAAAACCTAAAGCAAGAATTTTGTTGCTGCTATGACAGATTAGCTTACATTATACCTACCACCTCACCAAGAAGAGCTATAAAACTGGATTTTAGAAACAATATTTTAGGCCAGACACAGTAGGTCATACCTGTACTTCATTATGTTGGGAGACCTAGGCAGGAGGATCACTTAGGCCTAGGGATTTGAGACCAGCCCAGGATGTCAAGCCTGTAGTGAGCCGTAATTGTGCTACTGCACTCCTGGGCAACAGAATAAGACTCTGTAAATAATAAATAAATAAATAAATAGGAATACTTCTTACAGTATTGGTCAGGTGATAACAAAGCAACCAATATTTTGCAGCCTGGGCAACAGAGTAAGACCCTGCAAGTAAATTAAATAAATGAAAACCTAAAAAATACTTATTACTATAGGAATACTTCTTACAGTATTCACCTTTAGGAAGACATTCAGGTGACAACAAGGCAGTCAAGACTTTGCTAACCAAGTTCCTGTAGGGAAAAGTAGTGCAGAGAAATGAGCCCAACATTCAGTGTGACTTTTCCTTTTAAAGCATTTGCCAACATGAAAGCAATAGCTGAGAATCTGAAAAGTTGAGCACAGTATTCCACAGTCTTACAAGACTGAAAAGAGAAATTTTGAATGTCATTGTCTATCTATTTTGTCTTTCAAGTTGCAGAATCCTTAGTAAATAAGTCAGGCTTTCAGTTGGACCCATTAAAAGGCTACATTTTAGGAGTAAGGATGAATCAGAATCAGATGAGCCCTCTCAATGACTGAAACCCAGCCCTAGGACTGAAATCTCTTTGCTTACCCAGGGTAAAAGTAAATACTCACTGGAGGAAGATACTATTCAGAACCTCGACTTACCTTAAAAATATTGTTACACAATGTGTGGTATGCAGGGAAAATTGCCAGGCATATCAGCAAACACAACAAAATCACTGAAAACCAAGAGGAAAAAAAAAAGCAAAAAAAAAAAGAAAGGGAAGCCATGCAGTTAGTACTTCAGACCCACAAGAGTTCCCAGTATGGAACTTGAGTAAATGGACTTTAACTGTTATGTACAAGAAAGTAGAAGGCATGATAAAGAATTTTAGCAGACAACTGGACTCTATACAAAAGAGTCAAATAGAATTTCTAGAAGTGAAGGATAAAATAACCAAGGTATTTAATAGCAAGTTTTAGCAACAGAGAGGAGAAAGCCAAAGAAAGGACTGCATATGTTAAGAAGAAGGAGGAAGAGTAGGAGGTGGAGACGACTAAATTATGGTCAGCAATTAAAAGAAATAGAAAATACAAAAAGAGGATATAAAACATAGGGGACATGATGAAAAGCTCTAATATTGAAATACCTAAGTGTCTCAAAAGGAGAGAAGAGAGACATTGAGGCAGAGGTAATATCTGAAGAGTTAATGAGCCATAATTTTCCCAAACCTATGAGAACCATTTAGCCACAAATTAAGTAAATACACAAACCCTAAAGTGATCATTAGGATTCAGACCCTACTTAGACAAACCCTAGAAAAACTGCCAAAAACCAACAACCTATATAAAATTCTAAAAGCAACCAGAGAAAAAAAACACATTATATTCAAAGGAGTGAAAGTAAGACTGAAAACTGACTTCCCAACAGAAAAAAACATAGAATTCAGAAGAAAAAGTAGTAGCTTTAAAGTGCCTAAGTAAAACAACGTCAACTTAGAACATTATATACAGCCAAAATATCTTTCAGAAAATGAAGGCAAAAGTTTAGAATGTAGAAAACTCTTCAGGGCAACCTACACTTTCTTCAACAAGTAAATTACAAGACAAAACTGCTAAAGGGGAACCTCTAAATAAAATAGTCTGAAAAATATATCAAATAATTGAGCTGTGTTTACTTATTGGTGTCATGCTTCCATTTAGCTAATTTAAGTTTTTTGACATGTTGAAATAACTGGAAATTTGAACAATTACCTATGTGATGATATGAGGAAGCTTGTTAAATTTATTTAAGTATGTTAATATTGTGGTTTTATTTATTTTTATTTTTTTATTTTTTGAGTTGGAGTCTTACTCCGTTGCCCAGGCTGGAGTGCAGTGGCGTGCTCACACCACAGCGTTGACCTGCAGGGCTCAGGCAACCTTCCACCTCAGCCTTTCAAGTAGCCGAAACTACAGGAGCACACTGCCATACATGGCTAATTTTTTGATTCATTGTAGAGTTGAGGTCTTGCCAAGTTGTCCAGGCTGGTCTCGATCCTGTGGGCTCAGGCAGTCCTCTTGCTTTGGCCTCCCAAAGTGTTGAGATTATAGGCTTGAGCCACCACGCCCAGCCATTATTGTGATTCTGTTTTAAAAGAGAGGACCTTATTTTTTAGATACACAGAAATATGTATGGATAAAATTGTATGATCTGGTATTTATTTCAGAATAATATAGGAGTAAGGAATAAGAGAACAGGAGTACAAATGAAACAAGACTGGCATAAGAGTGATCATTGTTGAAGCTGGGTGGTAGGCTCATGGGAATTTGCTCACATTGTTCATTTTTGTATATTTGTTTTGAAATTATAAACTTTGGCTTAAAAAAAAGATGACGTAAAGACATTTTCAGTCGGGCTCGGTGGCTCAGCCTGTAATCCCACACCTTTGGGAGGCTGAGGTGAGTGAATTGCCTGAGATTGCGGGTTCAAGACCCACCTGAGCAACTTGGTGAGACCTCATCTCTACAATAAATCAAAAATTAGCCGGGTGTGGTAGCACGCGCCTGTAGTTCCAGCTACTTGGAAGGCTGAGGCGGAAGGATTGCCGGCACCCAGCAGGCGAGGCTGCGGTGGCTGGGAGTGGCCACTGCACTCCAGTCTGGGTGACACAGTGAGACTCCAACTCAAAAAAAAGAAAAAGAAAAGACATTTTCAGATTTAAAAAAAAGAGATATTATCAGCAGAAGTGGACAGTTCTTCAGGCAAGTAGACAAATCTGATAAGGAAAAAGCTAAGGTAGCAAGAGAATTCCAAATTCAATGACCAGAAGGATGTATGATAATAAAAAGACACGCACTTTTGAGTAGAAGAGAGTGAGATATCAAATTTAACAACAGCTGTGTGAATATTTTGATCCTTGTTCTAAAAGTCATATATGTCTTAAAACTACCTTTCAGCTTACCACCTTATATGAGAATTTAAGTATGCACAACCAGCAGTTAGAAGAAGAGGTAAAAGATCTGGCAGACAAGAAAGAATCAGTTGCACATTGGGAAGCCCAAATCACAGAAATAATTCAGTGGTGAGTGAACTTTTAAATGTGATTTTGTTGATGATTTATGGGCATATGACCAAGTTGGTGTGAATTCCAAAAGGCTACTAACATTTTTTTTTAATCTTGTTTGTCGGTTGTGAAAAATAAGGTATTCTGAAAAGCACAGTTTTATTATTGATCTGTTATTTGCATTCTACTGTGTTTTCTGTTATGTTCTTTTGTTCCCTAACTCCAACAATTGTTCCATACCAGATTTTACACAGCTTCATTGAAATCTGGTAATACTTTCTGAAAAAAGAAAATGTTATCTTCTCCCAAGTCAAAAATGGTCTTTAAAGAACTGATGAAACTCATCTACTAGCTTTAGATGTTTCTTTCTTAGATGAAAACTGCTATATTTGTGATTATTTCAAGCAACAAAAAGCCTGTAAAAAATTTAGAAGCTAAAGATACTATACTATCACCTTCTCTCATGGTTATAACATATTAATTCACACATAGCACTTTAAAAACCTTAAATGGTTATTGTTTCATTTTATCAACTGCTTCTAAAGCTTTTGGGATTTAATTTGAAATAGTCATCCTAGTAACCTTCATATTAATTCATTAATTAAATTACCATTCTGATGCTCATAAAAAAATACATGGCAAAGTAGAATCCAGCAAATACTTTACTTCCCAGCAAAAACAGGGAGCTTAACTTTTTTATATTTACACTTCTACCCTTTTTGGCATATGATAGATGTTTTTTTCTACCCTTTGTGGCAAATATTGTATTTAAATAAGTATAGGTTGAACATCTCTAATCCAAAAATCTGAAATGCTTCAAAATCTGAAACTTTCTGAGTGCTGACTTGACAACACAAGTGGATGTCACCAGACCTGACTTCATGTTATGAGTAACCATCACAACACAGTCAAAACCTTGTTTCATGCACAAAATTATTAAAACTATTATATAAAATTACCTTTAGTCTATGTGTATAAGATGTATATGAAACTTAGAAGAGGCTGGGCTTCATGGCTCAGCCTGTAATCTTAGCACTTTGGGAGTCCAAGGCCAGTGGATTACCTGAGCCCGCAGATTCGAGACCAGCCTGGGCAACTTGGTGAGACCTTGTCTTTACAATAAATCACAAAAACTAGCCGGACGTGGTGGCATGCATCTGTAGTGTCAGCTACTTGGAAGGCAACAGTGGGAGGATCATCTAAGCCCAGCAGATCAACGCTGGGGTGGATGTGAGTGTGCCACTGTACTCCATTCTGGATGATGGAGTAAGACTCCAACTCAAAAAAAAAGGGGGGAGAACATAAAAGAATTTTGTGTTTTGACTTGAATCCCATCCCCAAGATAATCTTGTTATGTATATGTAAATATTCCAAAATAAAAAATTAAAATCAGGATCCAAGCTTTTCAGATAAGGGATACTCAGCCTGTAGCTTCCTATGCTCATATTTTGGCTCAAGTATTTTTCCATTTTCCTTAGTTATAGCAGATTAGTAACCTCTTAAATAAAAGCAAATGTGAATAAACAATGTATTTTGAAGTAATTTTACTTAAATGACTCAAGTATTTTGATATTGCCTTAACTGCAAAGATCTTATACTTATGAGTGTGACTATTCATTGTACATAAAGTGAAGTGCCCAGATGTGGAAATTTGATTGTGTTCCAAACAGTACAATTATTGGTTCATTAATGTTTAATTTACATTTATGTCATCAAGTCTACATTTCTGAAATGAAATTATTTCAACCTGTAGCTAAGTTTATAATATCAAAATTATTACTTACTATTTACAGCTTCTGTGTTATCAAATTGGTAATCGGGGAGCTGAAAATGACTTAAGAAGACAAAGCTGTATGGCCAAAGCCTGTGATCCTAGACCACTGATCTTTTCAAGTGTCTAGCATAATGGGTTCAGCTGGAATGGGTTCTAATAAAGGAAGAAGCTTTAAATGTGGGCTCTGTAGAAGGAGTTAATAGGGTAAAGATGAAAGTTTTTATATGATGTCACAGAGCACTCACTGTACACTTCTCACTTTCAAGTTGAAATATGAAGAAAATCAGAACAACAAGAAAGTTGTTTTGCATAAAAGTTGTTATTATCCACACCTTTTATTTATAAGTAGATTAATGTATCAGATACAAATGAGCAAATACCTAATAGGCAAAACACAAAATATATAATCCATGTTCTCTGAGTTCTCACCTACTTGAAAGTTAATTGTCTGAGATATAATATCCAAGTTTATAAAGGGCAGAAGGCTTAGGCTATTTTCATCTTGTGAGTTTGGTTTACAGTTTGAGCATCCCTAGATATACTTGGGACCAGAAGTGCTTTGGATTTTGGATGTTTTTGGATTTTTAAATGTTTACATTATACTTATTGTTCAATATAGCAGAGAGAGAATTAATTACCTTAGATGAGGTGCTCACTAAAAGTGGGGGTTAATCAGTTGAACTATATATTTTTTTTAAGACACTGAGTTTAGTAAAGGGTCCTACACCTAGTTTGATCAAAGTTAGAGAATTTATTTAAAAGAAAGTAGTAATTAATAAAATTACCACAACGTTGTCATGAATACTGGGTAAGAATTTCAACTTGACTTATTTATAAGGCAATATAAATTGCAAGGGATAATGGTGTTAATTAAAATGATATATTAGGAAGATAACTCTTAACAGTAATGTTCAGGATGAAATAGAAGATGGAATGTTTGGGGAAAAGTGAACAAATGTGGGAGAAATTATGAAAGAAAACTATATAGGACTTAATAACTATAAAAGAAGGTCAAGGAATGAGGAGAAATAAGTATTTCTGAATTCTGAATTGGAGAGATTAAGAAAGTGATGGCATCATTGAAATAGCCAAGTCAAGAGTGGTAACCACCTTGGGAAAGATGGCACAATCAGTTTTAGCTGTTCTTTTTTCATTAGTGAGACTGAGCTGATCCAGAGATATCTTAGTGGGGATTTCTGATATGCTTTTGAAAAACTGGCATAGCTCTTTCATCTCAACCGTCAGCATGCCATCCAGACTGAGGAAGACCTGAAACTTTGGGCCCACGTGAGCCACGGCCATGGCCATATTGGCAAGCAACGAAAGCACCCAGGAGGCTGTGGTAATATGATTAGCATGCATTCCCACAGAATCAACTTCGACAAATATCACCCAGGTTACTTTGGGAAAGTTGGTATGAGGCATTATTACTTAAAGAGGAACCAGAGCTTCTGCCCAAATGTCAACCTTGATAAAATGTGGACTTTGGTCAATGAGCAGACACGAGTGAATGCTGCTAAAAACAAACTGGAGCTGCTCCCATCATTGTTGTGGTGCGATTGGGCTACTACAAAGTTCTGGGAAAGGGAAAGCTCCCAAAGCAGCCTGTAATTGTGAAGGCCAAATTCTTCAACAGAAGAACTGCAGAGAAGATTAAGGATGTTGGGGGAGCCTGTGTCCTGGTGGCTTGAAGCCACACGGAGGGAGGTTCATTAAATGCTAATGAATGCTTGAAGAAAAAAAGAAAGAAAAGCTGGCATAAAGGTTAGGATTAGAAATATGAAGTTTGGGAATTAAATTTCTGGTGAATAAGACCAATTAAGTTGTTGAAATCTTTTTAAGCAGAAAAGAAAGAAGCATAATAGTGAGGGTTACATAACAAAAGCTAAATGAAACAGTCATGTAGGAGAACCAGGAGAATGTTTTGATAATCATGTAATCAGGAAAGGGTCCCAATAATGACACCTTTATTTCTCTTTCTCTTTATTTAAATCTACTCACATTATGTGAGACAGTCCTCATTCAGTAATCTTCATTTATGTGTAATAATAGCACATATTGATTAAAACACAGTATGTTCCAGTCGTTAGGCTAAAAATTCACATGTATCCTCATTTAGCTATTACCCTAGTATGAAGTATATATTATTGTCCCCATTGTATAGGTGAGATAACACAGCTGGTAAGCAGCAGAGCTAGGATTTGAAGCTGGGTCTGTCTTAGCGGTCCCCAACCTTTCTGGCATCAAGAATAGGTTTCATGGAAGACAGTTTTTCCGTGGACTAGGGTGGGGGATGGTTTGGGGATGATCCTAGTGTGTTACATTTATTGTGCTCTTTATTTCTATTCTTTTTCTTTTTTTGAGTTGGAGTCTCACTCTGTCGCCCAGACTGGAGTGCAGTGGCCGCTCCCAGCCACCGCAGCCTCGACCTGCTGGGCTCCGGCGATCCTTCCGCCTCAGCCTTCCAAGTAGCCGGAATTACAGGCATGCGCTACCGCGCCTGGCTGATTTTTTGATTTATTGTAGAGATGAGGTCTCGCTGCCCAGGCGGGTCTTATTTCTATTCTGATTACATTGTAATATATAATGAAATAATTATACAACTCTTCATAATTCAGAATCAGTGGGCACCCTGAACTTGTTTTCCTGTAACTAGACGGCCCCACCTGAGGGTGATAGGAGACAGTGACACCCTGAAGTGTGTTGCTTATGTCCAGTCTACTCCATAACCTCGTTTTGGTTACTGTTACTGCAGAAAACCCTGCTCAAAAAGATAGAATGTTGGAAATGGAAACAGGCTTTTCAGTGCTGATCTCACAGGAGGCATAGTTTAGGCAGTAATACAACTCACCTTCTGCTGTGTTGCTCAGTTCCAGTACTGGTCCATGGCCCAGGAGTTGGGGACCCTGGTCTATCTGACTCAAGAATCCAAGTTCCCAATTACTCTACTGTATATGTCCTATCTCCCCAACTTTTCAAGAACTTTATCTTTCATGTCTTCCGTCTTCCTAATATGCTGAATGTAATAGTATTAATACTTATTAATGGATTAATTATTTGAGATAACTTGAAAGGAAAGGATTAAATATACCAAGAGAACAAGATAGATTTTAGTTGACTGCCTTTTAAGGTTGGCGAGTTATTTGAACAAAGTAGCTTCAGCAAAATAGCTGAGGCAAAAATTAGACTTCAGGGAGTTTATAGGAGTGAGTGAAGAGTTAAATACTAGAACATTTAGGTATAAGTAGTATAGCAATGAAAAAGATAGGGAGAAATAAGATGTTGGGAATGGGAGAGTGAGGACAGGGAACTTTTGGAGAATAAAAAAGGTTTGTACATATTTAAAGCAACCAATATAAATAGTGAAATTGAAAACATAAGGTAGGGACGATCTGTGTGTAGTAATGATACTATGGGATTAAGATTACATTTGAATGATTTAGCCAAATAAAAGATGAGACCTACTTCTAAAACTGTTTTAACAAGTTAAGAGAATGAGTATGACTAAACTTAATCAAGAAACAAGAGGTAAGAGGTAGTGTTGAGGCTAGGGAAAGTAAGAATTTTAAAGATCAGGATCAGAAATAGACAAATAGCAATGATAATTAAAATTCATTGTTATTTAAGTCCTAGAGCCCAATGAAAGTTAAATGGCATGAATTTACTCTAGCTAACTAGGTCCCCCCCCCCCCACCAGTTGTTCTCTGTAGCCAAGAAAAAGAGACGTAGGTTTCACCAAAAGTTCGGAGTTAGTAGAAGAATGCAGTTGTAAAGGAATACGAATATGTTCAACATATAAATCAAAAAAAAATTAGAAAAAAGATGATTATTATATAAAATTTCATACAGCTTACAAGTAATTTATACAAATTGATTTCTAAAGTTAGTAAAAAACATTGAACTTCACTGGTTCCTGGAAATGTGCGTGGACCAAGATCTCTGAACTGTAGTAGATACTAAACCAACACTAGTTGAGACCTATTAGCCTGGACACTTAAATGATAATATAGCTTTCTTTATTGTTACTGTATAAATACCTTTCTTTGTACTCTAAAAAAGAATCTCCATCCCCATTTATTCTTTATACTATAGATCAGATGATTAAATGAAAAGATTGCAGTCATTTGTGTCATTCAGACTTCAAAGAATTTTAGGACACAGCCCTCCTACTACATGAACTTTCTTAAAATAATTTCTAAAACCACTCTTTAAAAGGCAGTAAAAATATGTGCATGTACATAGAGCCTAAAAATGTGTAACTTTTGTCACTAGAGTGGGCAACTTCTTACAGTGGTTTCATTAGATCTGTTTTTAGATTCCGTTGCTTGTACTCCAAAAACAACTTCCTATCTACTAGAAGAGAGCACCAAGCCCTTTATAGAGGGCTTCTTTAAGCTGTATATGAATTTGACTCCTCAGGAGTTTAAATTCTTTATTTTTATTTTTATTTTAAATATGTGGGGTACAATTCATGGTTAGGTATACCAACATTGATTATGCAGTTATCCTTGTTAATGGTCAGTCCCTTTCTCGTAGTATTACGATAGTTGTTCAAGGTCCACTTATAAGTGAGAACATGTGATACTCGCTCAGTTCTTTGTTTCTGATATATCACTCAGTATCATAACCTCTAAGTCCATCCAAGTTGCTGTGAAGTTCATAATTTTGTCCTTCTTTATGGCTCCCTTTTCACAGCTTTCTCGCCACGTTTTTTTTTATCCAGCCCTCCTTCCATGGGCAGCATGATTGGTTCCATGTTTTTGCTGTTGTGAATAATGCTGCAATAAATATGTGTGTACAGGTATCTTTTTCATAGAGTGATTTGAGTTCCTCCAGGTATATTCCCAGTAGGAGGATTGCGGGGTTTATGAGAGGTCGATTTTTAGATCTTTTAGGAATTGCCACACAGTTTTTCACAGAGGCTGTACTACTTTACACTTCCAACAACAGTGTGGAAGTGTTCCCTTTTCCCCACATCCTCTCAGGATCTGTTGTTTTTTGAGTTATTGATAATGGCCATCCTGACTGAAGTTGGGTGGTATCTCAGTGTGGTTTTAATTTGCATTTCTTTGATGACTAGTGAGGCTGAGCATTTTTTCATGTATCTGTTGGCAACTCATATGTCTTCTTTTGAGAAGTGTCTGTACATATCTTTTGCCCACTTTGTAATGGGACTGTTTGTGTTTTTCTTTTTGGCACATTTGAGTTCCTTGTAGATAGCAGATGTTAGGCCTTTGTCAGATACACAGTTGGCAAATATATTGTCCCAGTCTGTGGCCTGTCTCCCCGTTCTCTCAGTGGTTTCTTTGGCTTTTCAGAAGCCTTGTCAGTTTGATAAGGTCCCACTTGTCTGTCTTATTCCTTATGACCTGGGCACTTGGGGTTTTGATTAGGAATTGGTTGCCAATTCCAATTTCCATAAGGGTATCTCCTGCATTTTCTAAAGTTTTTGTTGTTTGAGGTTTTATGTTTATGTCTTTGATCCATTTAGAGTTGATTTGTGTGTATGGAGATGGGCGGGGGGGGGTCTTGTTTGAATCTTCTGCGTGTGGCCGGCATGTTTTCCCAGCACTATTTGCTGAATAGGTTCTCCTCTCATCAGTGGTTGAGGTGGAAGCTTTGTCAAAGATGAGTTGGTTGAGAAATTGGTGTTTTGCTTCTGGAATCTCTATCCTGTTCCATTGTTCTGTATGCCTGTTCTTGTACCAATACCAGACTGTTTTGATTGTTGTAGCTTATAAAGCTTAAAGTCTGGGAGTGTGATAACTCCTGCTTTTTTTTTTTTTTTTTTGCTGAGGATTGTTTTGGCTCTTTGTGGTCATTTATGTCAGGAGTTTAAATTCTAAAAAATGCTAATGCAATGCTCAAGATTTAAATATCACTGCTGTGTGCATAACAGATACATATTGATTTACGTGAGATATATTTTCGTCATACTTTCAGTGACCTGGATTTTATCTGTGAAGACAAGTAGCCTGCACAAAGACAAATTGTCTACCCAAAAGTGTATTATAATACACTTCTGAGCATTACAAATTTCAACTCAATTTTTTTCTCTGTACAATATAGCTTTCTATATACCAATGGTTTTCATTCCTCCTGAGAATAGGACTTTCCTTTGTAGTTTTATATGTGTTAGTCTCCCCTCATTTCCCACCTTCCCCTCCTGTTTTGGAGGAAATGTAACAAATGCAAACTTTTTCTTGAGAAATTCTAGATTGTGGAATTTGTTTTGTTGTGTATAATTTGAAAACGTTCAAAAAACATAATAGCGTCATCAGCTAGATAGCCTTAAGAAAGTAAGTAGAAACTAGAGTGTAGTAAACTTTAATCTTTTCTCTGTTATTATATTTATCATTTTAGAAAACAAAAGAGCTTAATTATAATACAAACCTGATTTTTGCAGAATATCCTACTTTACACAAAACTTTCTGAACTTAGTATATTTCAGTTTTAAAAACGGTATGTTGTATTTTTATAAAATAAAATGGCAGAATCCAATTAGTAAGAAGTTGCAGTTGTCTTTAGAAAACCTCACACATGTGTGCATGTGTGTTAAATGTTAGATTTATTTTATTTTATTTATTTATTTTTAAAATCAGGGTCTCACTCTGTTGCCCAAGCTAGAGTGCAGTGGCATGATCAGAGTTCACTGCATCCTTGACCTCCTGTGCTCAGGTGATCCTTCCACCTCAGTCTCACAAGTAGTTGGAACTACAGACATGTGCCACCATGCCTGACTTTTTTTTCTTTCTTTCTTGTAACTTTTTTTTGTAGAGGCAACTTCTTACTATGTTGCCTAGGCTGATCTCCAGGGCTCAAGCAATCCTCTTGCCTTGGCCTCCCAAAGTGCTAGGATTATAGGCATGAGCCACCACACCTGACCTGAATGTTAAATTTAGAGAGAGTTGTTTCTGTGATTCAAGGGTAAAGTTTTACTAATTTATCAGATATGAGTAACTGGACTTTTGTCAACATCACCAGTTGTAATTTGTACATAACTGAACAGTATCATAAACCACTTTCAGCTATTGACAGGTAGTTGTACTATGATAGACTTTTTAAAAATTATTTAAGAATATCTTTAAATTCCTATCACTTATTTATGAATCTTTAAAGTAAAATATATCACAGTGAAGTATTTCTGTTTGTTTTACTTTTGTACTTTATCTCTATCTTTTTATGTGTATATTCTAGGGTCAGTGATGAAAAGGATGCACGAGGGTATCTTCAGGCCTTAGCTTCTAAAATGACTGAAGAATTGGAAGCATTAAGAAATTCCAGCTTGGGTACACGAGCAACCGTAAGCTCTAGCATTCTGCATGGAGGTTTATCATATTAGAAAAAAGAAGGTTGAAAAAACACTACGGTCAATCTGATTACTTATATCACTTTGTCTAGACTTCAGCCTACTGTAAAGTTTTTCATGAGAAATCAGTTAGTGCAAGTCTTTTCCAGTTTAGAAAAACATAATGCATAGCTGTTTTTAAGTATAATTATCAGAAATAACTATCCAGGAAAGAATTCACTTATATTTAAGTATTTATAATTATTTCTGAATGGAAAATAATATATTTTCACAAGTAATGTTACTTTTCTGTTTTTAGAGAAAGATAGTGCTAACAGTAGCTTCCAAATTTCACTTAGATTAGTAAATTTGTTGCAAATAAAATAGGAGGGAGCTAAAAACACAACCATATTATTTCATAGGATATGCCATGGAAAATGCGTCGTTTTGCAAAACTGGATATGTCAGCTAGACTGGAGTTGCAGTCTGCTTTGGATGCAGAAATAAGAGCCAAACAGGCCATCCAAGAAGAGCTGAATAAAGTTAAAGCATCTAACATCATAACAGAATGGTAAGAATTCTGTTACTAGAATAATTTCTAAGTTTGTCAGAATTATTTGGAAATAAGTTACATGCTTAATTTCCTTCCTGTTGCTTTGTTTTTTAAAGTGATGACCAAAATAAGTTATGAAGATCTGAAAATAAATAGATGCTTTCAAGCCTTGTGGTAATGATGGGATTTTAATATACTGTTGTTTTCCTCTAGCTTGTCATAAACTAGAATTAGTAGTAGTATTATTCCATTATTTAATTTTCCACTTATTTATAAAATTTAGTTGGCTCTCAAATTTTATTCTTTTGGATATAAAACTCTTATATTTAGAAATATAATATTTGCATTGAAAAGAAATATATGGTGAGAACAAAATATAATCATCTAAAAAGTATGGCCTCTACCATAGATCTTTTACAGGTGAAAGTTCTGTTGATGGTAAATTTCATAATGGTGTGAAATTTTTAAAATTATAATTATTGTTCTCATGGTCCTTTATGTATTAAAAACAGTATATCCCAGTTTCTGAGGCAGTTAGCTAAGGAACACATTACCTCAATTCTTGTCACAACAGTAGAGCAGATTATACTCTGAATATATAAATAATAAAAAAAGTGACAATCAGACTGAACATAAACATGGTTCAAAATTAAGTCAGTACAGGTGATATTGATAATTTCATTTGTTATGTCAACTTTCTATACTGATATATATATAGAAAGTTGACATAACAAATGAAATTATCAATATCACCTGTACTGACTTAATTGTTCAATAGAAAGTTGGCATAACAAATGAAATTATCAATATAAGAATACATTGGGTGCTTAGAAAACCAAAGGTTCCAAAAGTTTGAAAAAAAATGTGGGCCCATAAATGCCATTTTTAATGGTGTGAAGCTTTAGTTCTTAAACTGCAGTTTTTAATATTTTGAATCAAATCAAAGACCAGATACATGGTACACCTGTTGGATTATAAATTTTTGATTTATAGATGTTTTGTTATAAGTGATACAGACATAAGTTAAGTATGCTTTGTTTACATGTGCTTATGTGACATTGAGAGGGGGGAAAGAATCTCTTTCTGGAGAATATAAATTGATCCCAGCATAGAGAGCTACCGAATATCATTCTCTGTGTTGTAATTTGAAATAACTGATCTTGTCTATTTATGCCCAAGAATTTTGAGTTTATATATTTGTTCATAAATTAGGACTATGAGTCAAACTGAAAAAGTATAAACTTAAGTATATGCTTCACTTTTATGGTTGCCTATGAGGAAATTCTACAGTTAACCTTTGGTTTTGTAACATTTTAAAATGTAATAACTTAGCTCAGAGCCAGCAAGCTTTTTCTATAAAAGGTCAGATAGTAAATATTTTAGGCTTTGAGAGAGATTATAAACTCCATCACAACCACTCATTCTGCTGTGATAGTGCAAAAGCAGCCATAGTCGATACTTAAATGTGTTCTAATAAATGTGTTCTAATAAAACCGTATTTACATATAAATAGGTGGCAATCTGTATTTGTCCTTCCTGCTGTAGTTCATAGTCCCCAAATTTGCATGACTGATGTTTAAACCAAGTAAGTTTAGCTACATACAAGATGACTTACTAGCCAATAGTAAAAATTGATGACATTTTTCTGTTTTTCTCCTTATTAAAGTAAACTGAAAGATTCAGAGAAGAAGAACTTGGAACTACTGTCAGAAATTGAACAACTGATAAAGGACACTGAAGAGCTTAGATCTGAAAAGGGTATGGAAATGTGTGTTTGCATTGGTCAGGACTTACTGTTCTGAATACATTAATACTTAAGAATCAGCTTGTTGTGTGGGTAGTAGAAGTGTTCACACAAGCAATTCTGGCACTCATTTATGAGTACCTGTGTATATGATGCATACACGTACACATTTCAGCTGAGTCATTTTGTTTTACTAAATATACATTGTTTAAAGATTTCATAGTAACAAAAAAGGTCACTTTGCTGTAAATTTGACTTTTTTTTTTACTGCCATGGACCACTTCATGAATAACATTTTTATGATTGAAGAAAACTAATTTCTTATTTCACAACATACTTTTACTATATTCTCAAATGTTATATATGAGGTAATCACTCCAACAACAGCAACATGTGATATCTTTCAGAACTTGGTAAGGGTACTTAAACAAGTAGTAGCACTTTGTATGTGTCTAGAATGTACAAAATCTTGGGGATTCACTCCAGGTAGTTGAGGAAACTGTATGAAATAACTACAAATTAATCTAATTCAGCACTAATAGAGCAGTTCATAAGGAAGAATTATTTTGGCATTCTGGTGTCTTCTTCCAGTTTGATACTTAAATTGCTTACCCTATGGGATTTCCCAAGATTTATTACCATTTCCTTTAAAACTTTACTTGAGCATTTTCCAGTAATGTGAAAGCTAAATGTGATTAACAGCTCTATTACATGAACTTCTTAAACTTTTCCTTAATGTGGGTGTTAAGAATGTGAAGATTTAATAAAAAGTAATTCAGAATGTTATTTTTTTTAATCAAGAGATTTCTTATATGCAGTTCTTCAAAATTCATTTTCCTGATAAAGGCCATCACTGAGTACTGAACTAGTTAATGGACTTTATATTAGGCCTAAGTGGCTTCCTGTCGTTTCTCAGCCCTGCAACACAGTGAGATAAAGCTGGTTGGGTCTCTTCATCTACTTTTAGAATTGTGCAATACAGAGAGTAATCACATAAAGGAGCTAACATAAAAAGTCCATTAAAGGTAGTTAATGCTTAATACATTGTCGTTGACTGAATTTCTTAGTGAGCAAGAAAGGAAAGAAGCCCAGAAAAAGTAAATAGGAACTCAGATTAGGAGCACAGCTATTGTGCTGAAATGAAAAAAAACCAAGCTGCGTTTAAAATCATGAAGAGTAGAAGGGAGATAACATTATTTAGTGAGGAGAAGAGAAAAAATACATAAGCCATGAATAACTTGCCCTAAGGGCAATTTAATAGGAAAGAGCCAGTGCCAGTGACAACATGCACACTAGATGTTATTGACTGCTTCATTTTTAGAATAGACACAAACTTAAAAACAGGGAGACTTATGCTTATCACATTGCTTTATGAACACATGTTAACCACAGCTTTTTAATTTGGATTTTGAGTATTACAGAATTCACATTTACTATATGTTGTTATGTACTATACTACTTAAGTAATATAACATGATGTTTACATTATGGGGCAAGGATTTTTCAAATTGTTTACTATTATTTCCTTAAGTGTCTAGAACAGTATCTGGCATATAATAGACTCTCAATAAATATTTGTTGATTGAATGAATTTCTGAACATGTTGCCTTATCTGGTAACTATATTACTAGAGAGTAATATAGTTAAAACACAAATTAGTTTATGTCAATTCCTTAGGATATGGATATCAAAAATACGTGATTGGTTATTTGGCTTTTTTTTCCTCCCTCGTATTTATTATTATTTATATGTTTTAAGAATTATTTGGGAAATTATGCATTTAAAGTTAATACCATAGCCAAGAAATATGTATGAATTTTTAACAGTTCATACAAACTTAAAACTGATGTTTGGAATATTCATCCTGTCAATTAAAAAAATACTTGAAATCAGATTGACAAAAGCTTTTTTGTAATTAAGTACATTTGTTTTATCACTACATTGTTTTCCTATAAAAGATTGTTTATGTTAGACAGTGTATGCTGTATACCTGATAAGACTATTTCAAAACACAAGCCTGCTTTGGTGTTAAATTATCTTAGAAAAATCAGACATAAACAGGCCCCTAATTTTAAAATCCTCTCAAGTCTACCATGAGGTTTAATGTGACTTTGTATGATGTACTATATGGAAAAAAAAAAGAAACTCAATAACTTAAGTAACTCAAGTAACTCCAGAAACAAGTATTTCATGGAAACTGATATAATTGAACTATTAGGTGATAGTCTAGGAAACACTAATTTTTTAAGTTTTTTAAATATGTAGAATTAATAGTAGTGATCATCTTTTTTAATACAGTAGTTTTTGAACTGATTTTAGTAGATTCAGACTGGAAGCGTTATCCATTAAAATTAGTTTTTGTCGTTGTAGTTTTAAAAAAAAGTTGCTGCTGTCTTCTAGGTATAGAGCACCAAGACTCACAGCATTCTTTCTTGGCATTTTTGAATACGCCTACCGATGCTCTGGATCAATTTGAAGTAAGTATTAAACTTTTCTGATATCCTCTGTGGTCAATTTAAAATTCATTGGCAGTAAGATTGTTTTATTACATCCCATATGAAAGGACCTAGAATGTTAAGTAAACAAAAACATTAGGAAAGGAATATGTTCTGCATTATTATGGAGACTATAATCCCATTTGTATTTAACAAAACATGTAAGAAAGGTCTAAATATGAGTCTTATTGTAAGATTTAAAAGCAATTTCATCCCCCCTAAAAAACAGGAAGAGTAGGACAAATTTCAGCTTTTGGAATAATTTCAACGCTTTTCTTTTTTCTCCAAAGCATAGAGCCACAATAAAAAATCGTGAAAATATTAAAGCTCACAATATGGTTTTGCTGGTTTTCATTTCAAATCAATTTATTTTTTTCAAGTGTACAATAAGGAATGCTTTTCTGTTAAAATTATTATAAGACTGTTACACAGATTCTACAATAATGAAATAGTGATTATATAACTCTTGCTCATTTCTTGCTAGTTTAAGTTTTTGTTGAAAAAATCAATTTCATGTTATAAAGTATAGTTTTGTCTTAGAACACTTAAATTGATGATTATCTCTTTATTCAACAAATAATAATGTGTATCTATATGCAAGGCACTGTTCTAAGTGCTGGAGATACAGTAGTGACCAAAATAGGCAAAGTTCATCCCTCAGAGAACTTACATTCTGGTGGGAAGAATTAGAAGCAGAGATTCTGTTGCTTACTTTTAGTTGTTATCTTCTAAAGTGCTTACATTTAATTTGATTATTAATGATTTGTCATGAGCTTCATTTTATTATATTTTGGGCATAGTATATTAATTTTATTTTATTCCTGTGGGAATGGAAAGAAGAATCATTCTTTTAAAAGTAAACAATGAATCTTTAAGTTTCTTAAGAACGATGATAGTGACTGCTTTTCTCATTTATTTATTTGAATTAATGTCATTTGCCTTTCAATTGTTTTACAAAATTTTTGATTTATTATTCGTTCTTATTAAATTGCTTCATCCATATTTTCTATTTTTTTACTGCTGTATTCGTTAAATAGGATTCCTTTTCTTCTTCCTCATCTTCACTGATTGATTTTTTGGATGACGTAAGTCTTTGATTTTCAAACCAATGCATCCTTCAGTAAAAGAGATCAGTGAATTGATTTGAAGAATTTGTCAAGTAATGCAGTCAGTTTTAGAAATACCACACTTGAAAATTTATCTGTAAACCAAAATATGCTTTTTTCCTGTCTTAAATATGATGAAGAGTTTATCATTATTAAACATAATAAAAATAATAATATATCTTTTGAAATGCTTTGACCATTGGATAATCTCTATGTTTTCAATCTTTGTGAGAATTCTAAAGACTGAAATGCTTATTTAATTGTTGTCACTATATATATCGATAATTGTTCATTTTTATTTTTCATGGTGATTTCTATTTTCTTTCCCCTTTTCAGCACTTTACTGTTTAATTTATATGTTGGTTAAAAATAAACCTCTTGTGGTATACTCAGAAAACATTACTTTTTAATTAAATTCTCCAATAGATTTTATTGTAACACAATTATAAGAGTATAAATCAATTTTTAATGCTGACAGAATTTCTCTTCTAATGTGGAAAGTAATTTAGTTAACATAAGCACTATATGTGCTATAAATTGACTGCATTATCATTTTCTCTCCTGAATTCTATAGAGTGAATAATTTAAAAGTTCCTATTAAATGTGTATATTCAATCTCTTTACATTATTGCCTGGCATAACATTCTCTGTATTCTCTCTAAATGGCATAGTAAACCTTATCCTAAAGCATTTTGTTTTCCTGTTGAACATTCAGTCTTTACAGAAATGGGGAAACAAAATGGATTCAAATGCAAATATTTTTCATAGAGTCATTTTTAAAGGCAGTGAAAATTTTTTAATGTTTTATTTTATGTTTTGTCAGAATACTTGCAATATTAAGAAGGGTAGTTAGCATAATTTTCCACTAAAGGAACCTCTTGATCTGGATGTTTTAAAATTATTGAACTGAAAAGTGATTTTAGTATGTTTTAAATACCAAAGTACCAAACCAAAGTAGTACATTTTTATTCTAAATGGAAATGGTTTTGTTATTCTTGAAGCAAAAACTTATTCTGGTTAATTCTATATTGTGTTAAATAGAGAACTTTTCTGATGTACAATGGTATTGCATGTTATAATCTGCTGTTTGGTATATTAAAATACTCTATATGGTATTTCCATATATATATCATTCACCTTAGAAAGCATGGGAAGGAAGTTTGAGTAAATTATTTTAGTTGTTCTTTCCAGTAGAAAACCATTTTGAATTTTCTTTCTAACAAATTCATCCCACCATCCTGTCTCTCCACACACACAAAAAAATTTCTGGTATAAAACATAGAAGCAGTATGTATTTTGGCAGATAAATGATCTCTTCTCAGCAGATTACCCTGCAGGAGCGCACACTTCATCCAGGTCCCCAGCTTTTTTCAGCTCTCACAGGCACTCTGCCACTGCCACTCCTGGCTGTAATGCCTGAGTGCCCAGGTCACCACCATTTCCCACTGTTACTTTTCTCATCCTTTACCCACTATTATGCAGACATATGACTAAATTTCATAGCAATACAAAAAAAAACTCCTAGTATAAAAAGGAGTCAAGTTCACAAAAACTACAAATTAAGATTCATACTCCAGCTTTCAAAAAGCATGATTTCCCTTTTATGTGCTTTTTTACACTTCATTCTTATATATTGGTTAAGTGCATAAGCAGGCTCAAATCCTTCCTGTACTGCTTTCTAGATGTATGGTTTGGAGGAAGTTATCTTTTTTTCCCTCCTTTCTCTGCTTTTATTCATGGATTGGAGGAAGTTATCTAACCTTCACACACTCTAGTTTGCTCATCTGACAAACAGGAGTAATAATACAACAAATCTCATAAGGTTGTTTATTATTTCCTTACTCTTAATAAGTTGATTTCTCCCCTTTTTTTTGTATTCTCTTTAACTTCCTTTCTTGTCCATCACTTCAGTTGCACTTAAATTCTTTCTTAGTTCCTCATCACTCAGCCTTCCACCCACCACCAATATGAACCACTCTACTTTCCTTCAAAATTGTCAGATCATATTACCATTGGAAGATGATTTTTATCAGTCAGGCAAAGCCCCAGCAGTAAGCTCACATTTAAAAAATATATTTTATATTTAATCTATAATTTATGGCACAAATTTCTTGTTTCTCTTCATAGTTCATAACTATGATCACCCTTTCTAGAGTATTCATCCATTTATCTGATCCTCAAGGTCATAGCAGAATGATGTTTTGAACAGTGGTATTTAATCTTTGGCATACTTAAGTTCAGCATCCAAGGTATTTAGTATAAAACTCAAGTTCATCTGTAGCTCTCTTTCTGTTAGGCATTTGGATTCCCAAGGAACAAACCCAAATTGTGATTGTTCTTTGTGCTAAATCTAGTTATATTGTGCATGGTGCTTCCTTCTTGTCTTTCTCATTTGTTTTCTACCTCATTGCTGTAGAAGACATTATATTGAAGACCTAAAAACTGAATTGCAGCAGGAACTTGTAAATATAAAAGGGAATAAGGCTAGTATTAAAAATTGCAGAAATCAAGTTTTCTTTGGTGTCTGCATATCATCATGAATTGTCTCCCCCGTGCCCAGGGGCCCAGTGTTGTCAGAGCTTTACCACCAGTGTCTCTTCTCCAAAGTTACTGTCTACTTTTATTGTCCCACATAGGACTCTTAAAATTGTAATTACTGTATTTGTTGTATATATATTTAGACTCTGGGTCTCACTCTGTCACCCAAGCTGGAGTGCAGTGGTACAATCTTGTTTCATTACACCCACAACCTCATGGGCTCAAGCAATCCTCCCAACTCATCATCCCAAATAGCTGGAGCTACAAGTGTGTGCCACTACTCCCAGCCAACTTTTGGGTTTTCTTGTTGTTGTTGAGGTGAGGTATCAGTATGTTGCCCAGGCTGGCCTGGAACTCCTGGACTCAAGTGATCCTCTTGCCTTGGCCTCCCAAAGTGCTGGGATTACAGGCTTGAGTCACTGCCCCTGTAATTACTTTATTTAAAACAGTACACATAGTCACTCTCCCACCTTTAAATTTTCCTCTGCATGTTTTGCCCGTTAATTCAAAATTCAAATAAGTGCTAGAACTTTGGGCAGTATGAGATGTTCAAAACAGGATGCTTTCCTTTTACGTCACACTGTTCAGTAAATTCTTCTATGTGTAAGAATATCTTTGACAGAAGAGAAGGAATATATGTAGTACCAGTCACTTCTTTCCCTCTGGAAAAATGAAAGGAGGCAGCCCAGCAAAGCAGAAATACTCTCAACACTCTGCTTCTGTAACTTAGGAGGAGGTAGGCATTTGAGTTTTTCTGCATGTAGAAATATAGACTTTTAAAGGAGAAAAGAACTTTAGAAAATACTTTGCCTACTGGTTTTAACTATTATTTATCACAACACTCTCCTGTTAGTAAGAGTTCATAGGTTAATCTCCCATTAGTAAGAGAAATTTTTAGGGTTCTCAATCTTGGGGTAGTAGGGAAGTATGATGATAAAGAGTTATGCAAAACATGATTTAGGACAGATACAGGAGGGTTTGAGTTACTTTTAAGAAAAATTGAGACCACTTTGGTAAGACTACTTCATTAAATCATTGTTGTAAGAAGTATTAAGAAAGCAGTAGAACAGATACCAAGATCCTTTCTACAATGGAAATTATTCCCTCTTCTACTGTTGTCTTTTTCCCTCAACCTCACATGGGCTCTCTGTGATTAGTCCTTATTAAGACCAGTCTCAGCTGGGTACGGTTGCTCAAGCCTGTAATCCCAGCCCTTTGGGAGGCCAAGATGAGAGGATTGCTTGAGACCAGGAGCTCGAGACCAGCCTGGACAACTTGGTGAGACCTCATCTCTACAATAAATAAAAAAGAATTAGCTGGGCATGGTAGCTCGTGTCTATAGTTCTAGCTACTTGGATGGATGAGGCAGAAGGATTGCCTGAGCCCAGTAGATCGAGGCTGTGGTGGCTGTGAGCGTGTCACTGCACTCCAGCCTGGGCGCCAGAGTGAGACTCCAACTCAAATAAACAAAACAAAACTAGTTTCATCCTCTAGGAAACAGCCAGGGTGAGGGACAAATGGAGCTCAGCAGCTTGGATTTTCTCATCTCTCTCCCCCATCCATTCCCTTCATCCCAATAGAAACAGATCTAGGGGTCATTACATCAAGCTTATAGCAGCTTTCTACTCTATTTAGTTCATTTTCTTCTTTTCAACTGAACTTAAAAAAACTGTATTAAAAGATAATACTAATTAGTCAAAAATTACTTGTTCTTTACATATGATAAACATATTGTCACATGTTAAATATGTGCTAGATAAGTTTTGAGTTTTATCAAGTTACAGTTCTACAGTTTCTTCAGAGAAATAGAAATTATCCACTTACCTGCCAAATGGGAATGTGTTCAACATGCTTTTTGGAAGTTGTCTTACTTTGGTATACTGAGAAGAGAGTAAACCAAGGAATTAAAGCTCTAGAATATAAGTGTTAGACATAAAGGAATAAGGATAGTGTCTATAGTACAAACAGTCTGGTCTTCTTGTTATTGTTTTCCTTTCTTGTATTCTGGCATATAAGAAAAGCAAGTAGTCTGAGAGTATTGGCAGGCTGAGTTCTTGACCTGGTTTTAACCTCATGTAAAATCTTACTAAGATGTTCCAAATATTTCATTTCAGTCATAGCTTCTAGCTCCCTTCATTCATCTTTGGATTTTAACATTATTCTCTTCCCCAGCTTCCTTTTTACAGATGATCATAACCAATCCCTGAAATCTGAGTCTTGGCAGCATGGTTTAGCTATACCAAGAAAAAGTTAATCAATCATATGTGAAAATGAGTAGAATACAGAAAATTTTAAAATATACATTGTAAAGAGTTTTAATTCTAATACGAAAATTGGGCCTCACTCCTTCTGAGAAACTGTGGCATTGCTGAAATTTTCTCTTTCATTTCTTGTTTTTAAAACTTCCATCCTCATGTTCATCACAACCTTACTTGAAGACC